CAGTGAATACTGGACAATCTCCTCACAGATGAAGAAGAGACTTGAAGCAACAGAAACAAAGAAAATAGTACTGAACTGTTATGTAATATCAGTCCTCCTATATGGCAGTGAATACTGGACAATCTCCTCACAGATGAAAAAGAGACTTGAAGCAAGAGAAACAAAGAAAAGAGTACTGAACTGTTATGTAATATCAGTTCTCCTATATGGCAGTGAAGGCTGGACAATCTCCTCACAGATGAAGAAGAGACTAGAAGCAAGAGAAACAAAGAAAAGAGTACTGAACTGTTATGTAATATCAGTCCTCCTATATGGCAGTGAATGATGTACAATCTCCTCACAGATAAAGAAGAGACTGGAAGCAAGAGAAACAAAGAAAAGAGTACTGAACTGTTATGTAATATCAGTCCTCCTATATGGCAGTGAATGCTGGACAATCTTCTCACAGATGAAAAAGAGACTTGAAGCAAGAGAAACAAAGAAAAGTGTACTGAACTGTTATGTAATATCAGTCCTCCTATATGGCAGTGAATGCTGGACAATCTCCTCATAGATGAAGAAGAGACTTGAAGCAAAAGAAACAAAGAAAAGAGTACTGAACTGCTATGTAATATCAGTCCTCCTACATGGCAGTGAATGCTGGACAATCTCCTTGCAGATGAAAAAGAGACTTGAAGCAAGAGAAACAAAGAAAAGTGTACTGAACTGTTATGTAATATCAGTCCTCCTATATGGCAGTAAATGCTGGACAATCTCCTCATAGATGAAGAAGAGACTTGAAGCAAAAGAAACAAAGAAAAGAGTACTGAACTGCTATGTAATATCAGTCCTCCTATATGGCAGTGAATGCTGGACAATCTCCTCACAGATGAAAAAGAGACTTGAAGCAAGAAAAACAAAGAAAAGAGTACTGAACTGTTATGTAATATCAGTCCTCCTATATGGCAGTGAATGCTGGACAATCTCCTCATAGATGAAGAAGAGACTTGAAGCAAAAAAAAACAAAGAAAAGAGTACTGAACTGCTTGTGTAATATCAGTCCTCCTATATGGCAGTGAATATGCTGGACAATCTCCTCACAGATGAAGAAGAAACTTGAAGCAAGAGAAACAAAGAAAAAGTGTACTGAACTGTTATGTAATATCAGTCCTCCTATATGGCAGTGAATGCTGGACAATCTCCTCACAGAAGAAGAAGAGACATGAAGCAAGAGAAACAAAGAAAAGAGTACTGAACTGTTATGTAATATCAGTCCTCCTATATGGCAGTGAATGCTGGACAATCTCCTCACAGATGAAGAAGAGACTTGAAGCAACAGAAACAAAGAAAAGAGTACTGAACTGTTATGTAATATCAGTCCTCCTATATGGCAGTGAATGCTGGACAATCTCCTCACAGATGAAAAAGAGACTTGAAGCAAGAGAAACAAAGAAAAGTGTACTGAACTCTTATGTAATATCAGTCCTCCTATATGGCAGTGAATGCTGGACAATCTCCTCATAGATGAAGAAGAGACTTGAAGCAAAAGAAACAAAAGAAAAAAGTACTGAACTGCTATGTAATATCAGTCCTCCTACATGGCAGTGAATGCTGGACAATCTCCTTGCAGATGAAAAAGAACACTTGAAGCAAGAGAAACAAAAAAAAGTGTACTGAACTGTTATGTAATATCAGTCCTCCTATATGGCAGTGAATGCTGGACAATCTCCTCATAGATGAAGAAGAGACTTGAAGCAAAAAAGAAACAAAGAAAAAAGTACTGAACTGCTATGTAATATCAGTCCTCCTATATGGCAGTGAATGCTGGACAATCTCCTCACAGATGAAAAAGAGACTTGAAGCAAGAGAAACAAAGAAAAGTGTACTGAACTGTTATGTAATATCAGTCCTCCTATATGGCAGTGAATGCTGGACAATCTCCTCATAGATGAAGAAGAGATTGAAGCAAAAGAAACAAAGAAAAATAGTACTGAACTGCTATGTAATATCAGTCCTCCTATATGGCAGTGAATGCTGGACAATCTCCTCATAGATGAAGAAGAGACTTGAAGCAAAAAGAAACAAAGAAAAGAGAAATACTGAACTGCTATGTAATATAAGTCCTCCTATATGGCAGTGAATGCTGGACAATCTCCTCATAGATGAAGAAGAGACTTGAAGCAAAAGAAACAAAGAAAAGAGTACTGAACTGCTATGTGTAATATCAGTCCTCCTACATGGCAGTGAATGCTGGACAATCTCCTTGCAGATGAAGAAGAGACTTGAAGCAAGAAAAACAAAGAAAAGAGTACTGAACTGTTATGTAATATCAGTCCTCCTATATGGCAGTAAATGCTGGACAATCTCCTCATAGATGAAGAAGAGACTTGAAGCAAAAGAAACAAAGAAAAGAGTACTGAACTGCTATGTAATATCAGTCCTCCTATATGGCAGTGAATGCTAGACAATCTCCTCACAGATGAAGAAGGAACTTGAAGCAAGAGAAACAAAGAAAAGTGTACTGAACTGTTATGTAATATCAGTCCTCCTATATGGCAGTGAATGCTGGACAATCTCCTCACAGAAGAAGAAGAGACATGAAGCAAGAGAAACAAAGAAAAGAGTACTGAACTGTTATGTAATATCAGTCCTCCTATATGGCAGTGAATGCTGGACAATCTCCTCACAGATGAAAAAGAGACTTGAAGCAAGAGATACAAGAAAAGTGTACTGAACTGTTATGTAATATCAGTCCTCCTATATGGCAGTGAATGCTGGACAATCTCCTCATAGATGAAGAAGAGACTTGAAGCAAAAGAAACAAAGAAAAGAGTACTGAACTGCTATGTAATATCAGTCCTCCTACATGGCAGTGAATGCTGGACAATCTCCTTGCAGATGAAAAAGAGACTTGAAGCAAGAGAAACAAAGAAAAGTGTACTGAACTGTTATGTAATATCAGTCCTCCTATATGGCAGTGAATGCTGGACAATCTCCTCATAGATGAAGAAGAGACTTGAAGCAAAAGAAACAAAGAAAAGAGTACTGAACTGCTATGTAATATCAGTCCTCCTATATGGCAGTGAATGCTGGACAATCTCCTCACAGATGAAAAAGAGACTTGAAGCAAGAGAAACAAAGAAAAGTGTACTGAACTGTTATGTAATATCAGTCCTCCTATATGGCAGTGAATGCTGGACAATCTCCTCATAGATGAAGAAGAGACTTGAAGCAAAAAAAACAAAGAAAAGAGTACTGAACTGCTATGTAATATCAGTCCTCCTACATGGCAGTGAATGCTGGACAATCTCCTTGCAGATGAAAAAAAAGACTTTTGAAAAAGAGAAACAAAAGAAAAGTGTACTGAACAGTTATGTAATATCAGTCCTCCTATATGGCAGTGAATGCTGGACAATCTCCTCATAGATGAAGAAGAGACTTGAAGCAAAAGAAACAAAGAAAAGAGTACTGAACTGTTATGTAATATCAGTCCTCCTATATGGCAGTGAATGCTGGACAATCTCCTCATAGATGAAGAAGAGACTTGAAGCAAAAAAAACAAAGAAAAGAGTACTGAACTGCTATGTAATATCAGTCCTCCTACATGGCAGTGAATGCTGGACAATCTCCTTTCAGATGAAAAAGAGACTTGAAGCAAGAGAAACAAAGAAAAGTGTACTGAACAGTTATGTAATATCAGTCCTCCTATATGGCAGTGAATGCTGGACAATCTCCTCATAGATGAAGAAAAGACTTGAAGCAAAAGAAACAAAGAAAAGAGTACTGAACTGTTATGTAATATCAGTGCTCCTATATGGCAGTGAATGCTGGACAATCTCCTCACAGATGAAAAAGAGACTTGAAGCAAGAGAAACAAAGAAAAGAGTACTGAACTGTTATGTAATATCAGTCCTCCTATATGGCAGTGAATGATGGACAATCTCCTCACAGATGAAGAAGAGACTTGAAGCAAGAGAAACAAAGAAAAGAGTACTGAACTGTTATGCAATATCAGTCCTCCTATATGGCAGTGAATGCTGGACAATCTTCTCACAGATGAAGAAGAGACTTGAAGCAAGAGAAACAAAGAAAAGAGTACTGAACTGTTATGTAATATCAGTCCTCCTATATGGCAGTGAATGATGGACAATCTCCTCACAGATGAAGAAGAGACTTGAAGCAAGAGAAACAAAGAAAAGAGTACTTAACTGCTATGTAATATCAGTCCTCCTATATGGCATTGAATTTTGGACAATCTCCTCACAGATGAAAAAGAGACTTGAAGCAAGAGAAACAAAGAAAAGTGTACTGAACTGTTATGTAATATCAGTTCTCCTATATGGCAGTGAATGCTGGACAATCTCCTCACAGATAAAGAAGAGGCTTGAAGCAAGAGAAACAAAGAAGAGTTTACTGAACACTTATGTAATATCAGTCCTCCTATATGGCAGTGAATGCTGGGCAATCTTCTCACAGATGAAGAACAGACTTGATGCAACAGCAATGTGGCACTACAGAAAGATGCTGAGTATACTATGAACGTAACATGTGAACATCGACTAACTTTGATAAAAAATCATATTTAAAATGGACTATTATACTTACTATCAGAAAGAGGTGAGTTGAAAATATGAAATACGGTATAGAAAAATTTTACACTCACAGTGCAGATTATGGAAAGTGGGAGAAAGGTAAGAAAAAAAAATTACCCATATATGTTAAGATCTACAAATGACAGGAGATTGTGGAGATCCATGATTACCCTCGTTTAGAAGAACAAGATTGATTTTGTGAAATTATCTGGCGGAACAGTAATTAATTCTAAGAACTATAAATTACAGGAAGTTATGGAGAGCCAAAATCTCCAAGGTCATGAATGGACACGACACATAGAAGAAGAAGAAGAAGAAGGAGCTTGAGTATATGAATGGCAGATAAAAGGTTTAGGAGAGATAACAAAAAGACAGTATTTATTAAGAGCTACAAAGGACAGGAAATTGTGGAGAGCCATTATTGCCTACGTCCTGAACATGGCAGAAAGCGGAAGAAGAAGGACGAGAAGGAAGAGGAGATAGAAAAGAAGAAGGAGGAGGACGAGGAAAAGAAGAAGGTGGAGGAAAAGATGAAGAAGGAAGAGGAGGAGGAAAAGAAGACGACGAGGAAGAAGATAAATGCAAGGAGAAAAGAAGGAGTAAAAGGAAGAAGAAAAAAGGAAGACGAAAGAAAAAGTAGAAGAAAGAAAAAAAAGAGACAAAAAGAAGGGAAGAAAAAAGAAGTAAAGAAAAAACTAAACGGATGATGTAAGAAGGTTTGGGAAAAAAAATAAAATTTATTAAGAGCTATGAATGTCATGAAATTGTGGAGAGACAAGATCGCCCACACCCTGAAGGGACACGGCACAAAGAAGATGAAGAAGGAGGAGGAGGAGAAGAAGAAAATATAGCAACTTAAAAAGAATATTCGGTAATCGAACTGTCTTGCTTCCAGGTAAGTCTTGGAGGCAGACATTCAATATTTCCTCTTGAAAAATACGATATGATTGATTAAATAGGGAAGCAAATTAATAAGTCAGCAAAAAAAAATGCCAGCAAAGAACCAATATTAAAATAACTTTGCTTATTCGAGCTGAAAATTTTCCAAACAGTTCGAGAAGTTCAAATGTTTTTGCATCTCTTCTACGGCGCCATTTTCTTTACCGTCGACGCCATTTTGTTCTATGTCAAGTCACTAAGTTTATTTGAAGTCATTCGCTATTCCAAAAGTTTAGTGAAAAAAAAAAGAAAAGAAAGAAAGTAACGTCAAAATTGTTTAATAACAATATAAATAAAAAAAAAAATTAATATCTTGTCCAGAAATGTCTCATCATTTTCGACCGTTGATCGAAGTGGAAGCCCCGACAAGCTTCAGGAGGAGGGGAAGAAATGGTGATATTTAAAAATTGAATCGTGAAACGAAAAAAAAAAAATGTTTTTTAAAGTGTTGAACGTTTATGATTCGGAAGAGATGAACGCGGTGAAAAAATTAGAAAAGCCAAAAGGCGGAATTTAAACCGAAAATAAAAGAAACCGGTTGAAAATAGACAGGAAGTGTATTATTAGGAACAGAATGGAAAGCTGCGAAAAAAAAAAAACAATACAAAAGGAAATTAGAAAGAAAAGCAGAAGAACCAATATTTACGGGAGAGAGACCCAAGAATAAATTGAAAAAAAAGGAAAATAAAAATAACACTGGCAAAGAGAAGAAAAGGGGTTGATGGTCACGAGAAGTAATGATGATGATTATAATGAGAAAAAGAAAAAAAAAGACGAAAGAGGTGAAGAAATATAGTTGAGGAAGTAAAGGAACAAGAAGAGGAAAGGAAAGAAGAAGAAGGAGTAAAGGTGAACAAAGAAGAAAAGAAAGAAAGAAAGAAAGAAAGAAAGAGGAAGAAGTGTAACAGATGAAAGGGAAAGAAAAGAAAAGGAGGAGGAGAAGAAAAGAACAATGATGAGTAACGGATGAAAGAGAACGAAGAAAAAAAGAAAAAAAAGGAGACAAACAAGAGAAAAACAAGAAACGAAAGGAAAGAATGAATGAAGAAATGAAAGAAAAGAAATGAAAAGAATGAAATGGAAGAAATGAACATATGAGAAGAAGACAGGTAGAAAATAAAATATGAAGGAAGAAAAAATGAAAGAAGAAATGAAGGAAAAGATAGAAGAAGAAGAAGAAAAAAAGAAGAATAAGAAGAAGAAGAAAGGAAGGAAGGGAAAAATGGAAAAAAAATGAAGGAAGAAGAAGAAGAAATGAAGGAAGAAGAAATGAAAAAAAAAAAAAAAAGAAAGAAGAAGAAATGAAGAAGAAGAAAGGAAGAAAAAGAAGGAAGAAGAAGAAATGAAGAAAAATGAAGGAAAGAAAAATGAAAAGAAGAAGAAGAAATGAAGGAAGAGGAAGAAATGGAAGAAAAATGGAAGAAGAAGAAATGAAGGAAGAGGAAAAATGGAAAAAAAATGAAGGAGAAGAAGAAAAATGAAGGAAGAGAAGAAATGGAAGAAGAAATGAAAAGAAGAAGAAGAAATGAAGGAAGAGGAAGAAATGGAAGAAGAAATGAAGGAAGAAGAAGAACTGAAAGATGAAATGAAGAAAAAAAAGAAAAATGAAGGAAGTAGAATAAATGAAAGAAGAAAGAGAAAATAAAGAAAAAAAAATAAAGGGCGAATTGAAATGAAGGAAGGAAGAAGAAGAAAAAAAATAGAAGAAGAAAAAATGAAGGAGAAAGAAGAAAAATGAAGGAAGAAGAAGAAATGAAAGAAGAAAAACTGAAAGAAGAAATGAAGGAAGAAGAAGAAAAAAGGAAGAAGATGAAGAAATGAAAGAAGAAGAAGAAATAGAAAAAGAAGAAGACAAAGAAGAAGAAGAAGAAGAAGAAGAAATGAAGAAGGGAGAGGTGGAGACTGTGTAACTGATGAAAGAGAAAGAAAACGAAAAAGGAGGGGAGAATTGTAAGATTTTTATGAAGATAAGATTGATTATGCATACAAGTTATACTAATTAACCCATGCCTGGGGGAGAAAAAGTGAGTTCATAGCTTTCACTATGGTATTTGCGTGCAGGGAAAAATAATGAACCTGCTTGGAACTCGAATTCGGCGCTCTGTAATTTATAATTCGTGCTCGTTATCCATTACACCAATTGGTACTGCCAAGCGGTCACTCACCTAGGTAAAAACCAGGGTTGAGGCTGCTTAATATCGGTGATGTTACAAGAAGCGCTGTTTCAACGTGAAATGGCCATACCCCTTCCACGAAGAAAGGATGGGGGGTAAATAAAAACTAGAAAAATAAGAAATGGGAAATAATAAAAGAGAAGGAGAAGAGATGAATAAAGAAAGAAAGAAAGAAAGAAGGAAGGAAGGAAGGAAGGAAGGAAGGAAGGAAGGAAGGAAGAAAACGGATGAGAAAAACGTAGGGTGAGGAAAAAGGTAAAAAGAAAAAGGAAAGGAAGAAGAAACGAGAAATAGAAGAAAAACAAAAGAAAAAGAGGTGAAAGAAAATTAAAAAGAAAGAAGAAAGTAATAGATAAAACGAGAAGAAGAAGAAGAAGAAGAGCGAAAGAGAAGAAAGGGCAAGAAAGAAAGAAAGAAAGAAAGAAGGAAAGAAAGAAGTAATAGATGAAACGGGAAGAAAAGAAGAAGAAGAAAAGCGAAAGAAAAGAGGTGAAAGACAAAAAGTAAAACAAAAGATGTATTAATAGATAAAAACGGGAAGAAGAAGAGAGAAAGAAAGACAGAAAGAAAAACAGAAAGAATATATGAAACGGGAAGAAAAGAAGAAAAAAGCGAAGGAAAAGAAGAGTGAAAGAAAGAAAGAAAGAAAGAAAGAAAGAAAGAAAGAAAGAAAGAAAGAATACATGAAACGGAAAGAAATGAAGAAAATAAAAGCGAAGGAAAAGAAAGAAAGAAAGAAAGACAGAAAGAAGAAAGAAAGAAAGAAAGAAAGAAAGAAAGAAAGAAAGAATACATGAAACTGGAAGAAAAGAAGAAAATAATAGCGAAGGAGGAGAAGAGGTAAAGAAAGAAAGAAAGAAAGAAGTAATAGATGAAACGGGAAGAAAAGAAGAAGAAAAGCGAAGGAAAAGAAGTGAAAGACAAAAAAGTAAAACGAAGGAAATAATAATAGATAAAACGGGAAGAAGAAGAAAGAAAGAAAGAAAGAAAGAAAGAATACATGAAACGGGAAGAAAAGAAGGAAAAGAAAGAAAAAAGAAAGAAAGAAAGAAAGAAAGAAAGAAAGAAAAAAGAAAGAAAGAAAGAATACATGAAACGGGAAGAAAAGAAGAAAAAGCGAAGGAAAAGAAAGAAAGAAAGAAATAAAGAAAGAAGAAAGAAAGAAAGAAAAAAGAAAGAATGCATGAAACGGGAAGAGATGAAGAAAATAAAAGCGAAGGAAAAAAAAAGAAAGAAAGAAAAGAAAAAGAAAAAAGAAAGAAGAAAGAAAGAAAGAAAAAAGAAAGAATGCATGAAACGGGAAGAAATGAAGAAAATAAAAGCGAAGGAAAAGAAAGAAAGAAAGAAAGAAAGAAATAAAGAAAGAAGAAAGAAAAAAGAAAGAATGCATGAAACGGGAAGAAATGAAGAAAATAAAAGCGAAGGAAAAGAAAGAAAGAAAGAAATAAAGAAAGAAAGAAAGAAAGAAAAAATAAATGAAACGGGAAGAAAAGAAGAAAATAAAAGCGAAGGAGAAGAAGAGGGAAAGAAAGAAAGAAAGAAAGAAAGAATACATGAAACGGGAAGAAATGAAGAAAAAAGTGAAGGAAAAGAAGAGTGAAAGAAAGAAAGAAAGAAAGAAAGAAAGAAAGAAAGAATACATGAAACGGGAAGAAAAGTGGGAAGAATAAAAGCGAATGAGAAGGAGATATAAAGAATGAGAGAAAAGAAGAAAGAAAGAAGTAAAGAACGAAGAAATTAATAGATTAAAGAGGAGGAAGAGAAAAAGAAGAAAACAAGAAGTGGCTGAAGGAGTCGGAAAAGGAGGAGAAAGAGGAGGGGGAAGAAATACTTAACAATGGAAGACAGAAAGGACAGAAAAGAAAACAAAATGAGAAGAAATAGAAAAAAAAATGTTTGGAAATATAATGCCACCCAAATAATAAAATTTAAATGGAAAAATCAAAGATTTGGAGGAGAAGGAAGAGGAGGAATAATAATAATAATAATAATAATAATAATAATAATAATAATAATAATAATAATGTCGACATGTAAAGAGCAAAATTTCGTCGGTTCCTGTGTGGAAGATGATTAAAGAAGAAATTTACTTTCAAAAAGTAGGTTTTATTTCGTGAAATAGCAAGCGATTATTTGACCTATCCTTTCTTTCGGAGTAAGCCAACCATTTCTCAACCAGCGGCAAATTCTAACCAACCTGCAAGGCCCCTCCCCACACCCCTTACCCTCTTCATTTTTCCCTCGGACGACTTTATCAGTTCGACAGAATTTCGCCTCGCTTATTTTCGGTTTCAATTTGTCATAATTTAAGAACCAATTTAAAATGTGAAACTTTAGAACAAGATAAATCCGATCATTACATTGCTAAGGGCATTTACTTGAGGTTTAAGATCTTTTATGGAGGTCCTTCTTGCTCTTTAAAAGAGGATATTTCAAAATGCTTTTGAGGATTAAAAATATTTCTCTATCTATCTCTCTTCACATCCCCCTCTCTCTTTCTCTTGCTACTACCTCTCTCTCTCTCCCCCTGAGAAAAAATAAAAAGGAAAAAAAGACAGATGATGCTTTCAAAAAGAAAACGTTTTCTCTCCCACCTCTCTGTCTTTTAAGATGCTTTCAAATTCAATGATCTTTCCCCTCTCTCTCTAAATGTTTTCAAATTCAAAGTTCTCCCCTATCTCTTTTTAAGATGCTTTCAACTTTTTGAACCTCTCTCTTTAGTTTAAGAATGCTTTGATCTGAATCTCTCTTTTTTATGATGTCAAAAATCAGAAATCTCCACCTCTCTGTCTTTTAAGATGTTTTCAAATTCATCTCTCCCCCTCTCTCTCTTTTAAGATGCTTTCAACTTCAAAAGGGAAAATGAAACCTTATCTCTTTTTTAAGATGCTTTCTCTTCACCTCTCTTGCTAAAAAAAAAAGAAAACATGATGCTTTCAAAATCAGCTCTCTCCACCTCTCTGTCTTTTAAGATGTTTTCAAATTCATCTCTCTCCCCCTCTCTCTCTTTTAAGATGCTTTCAACTTCAGCTCTCCTCCTCCTCTCTCTCTTTTAAGATGCTTTCCTCTTCACCTCTCTCTTGCTACCCCTCTCTCATTTAAATGAAAAGAAAAATCAGCTCTTCCACCTCTCTGTCTTTTTTAATGTTTTTCAAAAAAAGCTCTCTGAAAAAATCTATTTTCTAACTATTTTCAAAATTCAGAAACAAAAATATAATAAGATAAACCTACCTCTTTACAAGATCTCTTTTTTAAAAAAGGTGTGGCCAGAATATCTTCAGCTAAAAAAAGTTTAAAGAAATTCTCCCCCAATCTCTCTCTTTTCCCTGAAAGAAGATGCTTTCTGTCTCAGCTCTCTCTTGCTACCCCTCTCTTTTAAATTTGAAAGCTCCTTCCAAAAAGTTTTTTAAGATGAAGAAAACAAAGAGAAAGGAAAAAACTCTTAAAATGATGGAAAAATAAACTCCTCTTGCTTTCCCCCTCTCTCTCTCTCTTTTAAGATGCTTTCAAATTCAGCTCTCTCTTGCTTCCCCCTTGCTCTCTCTTTAAGATGCTCTTTTAAAGGATCTTTCAAATTTAAGATGCTTTCTCTTGCTCCCCCTCTCTTTTTAAGATGCTTTCAACTTCAGCTCTCCCCCCCTCTCTCTTTTAAGATGCTTTTATCTTCAACTCTCTCTTCTTTCCATCGCAACTGGATATTGTTTCGTTGTTCGAGCCGCTCCCAGCAATGAAAAGATTGATTCTACCGAACGACTAACCCGCACGAATAAGCCACCCCGATTATCTATGGATGTGGATTGGAAAACAAATATCCTACCGTATTTTTTTTTTTTAATCCTCGTGGAGTGTATAGAAATATTTACAAAATGCTCAGGTTCGACCAAAATCGCAAACTACTGGTCAGAAGACCCCGTTGGCGTGGAATTTTGCAGCCTGAAGACAGGGAATATTTTGAAGACTTATGATTCTTGTTAGAACGTAGCGAAATACCAAGCCAAGGAGACCACATGCTTTCATAGAATCATCCTACCGTGTTTGAAAGTACGCTATCATGGCTGCCCCACGCCTCGTATAATAAAGTGAGATTAGAAAAGGTACTTCATCGTTGTAGTCAATAATGTCGCATTGGAGTTTGCAGAACTCAAACCAGAGACAAGGAACACGGCAGCATTTTCTACAAATATTTCCATGGCAATTGCTCTGACGATCATTTTTCCCTGGTTGCCAGCCTAAGTGAATTTAAGCATGTTATTTTACTGCATCTAGGCCCCACCCTTTTACTGTTGAAATAGGTAAATTCAACCGCCACTTCTACTACAAGAGTTTCATTCCTCGCACTTCCCACCTGGAGAACTCCCTTCCGTTTACTTGCTTACCTGATAACTACAATCTTCAAAAATGTAAATGTAATATCAATCGCCATCTTTATCTTCTTTATTATTATTTATTTTTTATGTTTTCCTCTATCCTCCCAAATCTCGGTCTTTTTCCCCTCACTTTCTCGGCCTATAACCCCCTGCTTACTAATAACCTTTCCGTTTCGCTTGGAGTGAAAGGATTGGTGCCCCTGGTATTCATGTCGATGTTCACAACAAAATCCAAAGATAAGATCTGCAATATGAACGGTCCTGACTTGGCATCTCGACACCAGTCACTTTTCTACAGACGTGATGTGGCTTCCCTCTGTCTTTTCTAAAAATTATTTTGACGACTGGACGACTTTTTTTTTCTGACGATCATTTTTTTTCCTTGTTTTTTCTAGCATCTAGGTCCTTAAATTTTAAGTTGAAACCCTGTTGTTTTTTTCTTTTGCACTTGATTCTACTGAGAACCTGATTTTTTTTATGTTACTATGTCCTTTCAGGACGTAGACGATCATGGCTCTCCACACCCTTCTATCCCTTGCAGCTCTTAACAAGTTCTTTTCTCTCTGATATCTCCCCAGACCACGTTCTGTCATCCACCGGCTTAAGCTCGTTAGGAATGTCATGCGCTGCTTTTCTTTCTCTCTCTTCCCCTTTATTCGACCCGTGAGTATTAAATTCTCAAAGCCTTCCTTCCTCATTATGTGTCCCAGAAACTTCAGCTGCCTCTTCCTGATGTAAAGGATGAGCCTCTTCCTTGTCTGTATGCTCTCCAAGACCTCATCATTGCTCACACGCTCAGTCTACGAAATGCTCAGCATCCTTCTGTAGAACCACATCTCCGTCGCCTCGAGTCTCTTCGTCATTCTTGAGGAAATCTTCCAACATTCACTGTCGTAAAGAAAAACAGATGATACGTAACGGTTCAGTATTCTTTTCTTTATTTGCCAAAGATATACTAATTGCTACGGTTGCTAGAGGTTTTGCCCTGTTTGTCGAATTCCATCAGTGTTCTTGGGATGGTAGCTCTTGAAAAACCAAACAGTTCAGAAACCTTAGTAGTGATCGAGGCTCCTACCATGCGAGCTCCAACAATTTGCTCTTTTTCGAATTCGGAGAGGTCACGCATTTAGCTTAAATTTTACTAAATTCTAAAAATAAATAAGACAAAGACAGTAAATTAGATAAATAAACATATTTACAATAGATATAACCTGCAATTACGAAGTTTTAGTTAAAGTTCTTAATATAATAAGTCTTTGAAATATAGGAGTGGATTTTCCAACTGTTCCAATTATTTTGTCCAACACCTGTATATAGATAGATAACAGAATGTTAAATGGATAATATTTTATGAACAAATTTTAGATAGATAGTTAATAAGTGAATTGATATCCATATATATACATAAATACATACATATATATATATATATATATATATATATATATATATATATATATATATATGTATGTATGTATGTATGTATAGATAGATAGATAGATAAAAACTGAGATAAAGAGACAGATATATAGATTTTAACGAAATAGACAAAAATCCCTAAAACCTATCCCCAGCTGGACCGCTTTTGTTAAAAGGCACACAAAAATCATAATCCTATTCTTAAAAGTATTTCTAGTAAACTTGAAAATAAATTAATTGTCCTTAATATCAGGATCTAGGCATCAGTTAAAAAGGCCCCTACCATTGTGCCGAGATTTTTAATTAATTCTGCACAATATGTGGGGCTTAGTTTGGCGAGAGACCAATAATCTCTTTGTAACACTAAAGATGAACTGAAGCCAAGGATTATGGCAGCATTCACCGAGGAGACTGTCGCAAAAAGATGCAGAAGATTCCGAAGTCGTCTGGCGACCGTCGATGAAACCAATGGCGATTTTATTGAATAGATTTACTCTTTGCAACCACATCACCCCCCACCCCCTTACATCTGGCCACCTAAGTCCCCAGACCCCTAACCCCCTTGATTATTATGCATGGGGTGCAGTTGAGTGAGAGACCAACAAAACTTCTTGTAACACCAAAGATGAACTGAAGGCAAGGATTATGGCAGCATTCAACAATTTAACCCAGGAGACCGTCCAGAAGAGATGTAAGAAATTCCGAAGTCGTCTTGCCGTGGTAGAAGCCAATGGCGATTTTATTGAATGAATTTATTCTTTAGTCTTTCTAGGTATGTTATGTCTAGAAAGATTTGCTATTTTGAGATTCGATGTTATGTTTATTTTAAATCCTAATTTGTTTTTTTATGGTTTCT